AAAAAAAAAAAAAAAAAAAAAAAAAAAAAAAAAAAAAAAAAAAAAAACCATATAAATGAATTTGAGAGAAACAAGCCTAAATTTCAAAAAGAAAAAACTAATAGCATTCCCTTGTATCCCTACTTTGTTCTCACTCATGAGCATAGTGGATGAACTAATGTGAATGAGTGTAAGTTTTGGGACCCGAACACGATTGGTGCTGACCACACTATAGGCTACCGTGGTAGCAAGAGAGGCCAGGTGGTGACAATTGAGAGATTGTTATTGAGAGTTCCTAGTTACATGGGAAGAGAGGTCAAATGGCAAGGTCATACTCCCATTTGACTCCTTGTGAAGTATAGTTCATATCCAAGCATCTGATTGGAGAACGGGGCAACACCCATGAAGCTCCAACGAAAAGGGAAGGTCTGACAAGCTAGATACCCATAGGTGCAAGATTCTTCGAAAAAGTTCGGGCTGACTCAAAGACTTGGAACCTTGACTTAGCAATGAAAGACGGAGATACTTTATAGGAAAATTTCTATTTTAGGCAAACCCCGGGATCATAAGAATAACCTCCAATATTGAAATGACAAACAACCCCAAGAAAGTTTAAAAGATTTCCTTGGAAAGATGGTCAATTATGTAGAAGAAAGAAGAACGTGTTCCCATCTTCAACCAACAACATTTCAAGCCCATACATGAATCTTCATACATGCAAGTACATAAATAAAGAGATACATAATGTATTGAAGATGCAAATGAATCTCGATTTTTAGGTTCATTTTGTCTCTGAGATGAATAGCTGCCTTTCAACTCTTCACCTTTGCTAGTAACCTTAGCTTTCTTCTACCAGAACGAGATTTCAAAAAAGATCTTAGAATGTCCGGGATCGAGCCAGGAGGGTTTCTTTAACACCTTTTGTCGCCCAACAAACACTATTATAATGCCACTGGGGATATATATATTATCCTCTTAATCGAAACAAAAAACAGAAACAAACAAACAAATAAATAAATCCTACCGACTACGCTATAAAATAAGACACACATTGAACAATTTCAATTGAAGATGCGTAAAAGCTAAAAGTTCCAGAAAGAGTTCCAAAATAAGTGTCCAACAACTTAGTGACAGAATTTTTGTAGCGATAAGATATTATATTCCCGACCAAAAGGATAAAGATCTAAATCTCCATTCTCATATATTGTTGAACTCACCTACTGTCATCAGAGATCGCGTTTTAAACACGTGTTTATCAACTAATCGCCAGTTAAAGCTCGAGGCCTATGCTCCAAGGTAAGAAGGGACATCCCAGTCTGCGATACTGCTCGAACGAATGACATGTTAGCAGTCAAGGTTGGGGCATTCCAGTAGTCGCCAGTACCAAACACGATCTTGTTCTTCAAAGCTAGCTTTCTCGTGGTCGGGAGACACGTCATACGTTTTGATGCCATGTCTGGCACAACCCTGTTTCATTTTTCAGACCAATCAGTGCACTAAAGTGTAATCAAGGACGGAAATATCTGTAAATTGGAAGGTGAAACATCAATATTAATCGATATCCTTGACATCACTTATAAATACACATAAAACATAGAAAAATCTCAATAATATATGGATAGGAATACTATCAACAAAATTTATAACCAAGTTTTGGGAGTGTCCAAGCTATAGCTTGTCCACACACCTCAATTATTCTCACACAACAATTACCTGATCCCACTCCATTCGACTACCGAGGTACTTGTATGATGTTAAATTCTAGTAGAAAGCCACCATAACTTGAATTCATTTCTTCTCTGTAACGATCCAAGCCCGCCGCTAGCAAATATTGTCCTCTTTGGGCTTTTCCTTTCGGACTTCCCCTCAAGGTTTTTAAAATGCGTCTACTAGGGAGAGGTTTCAACACCCTTATAAACGGTGTTTCGTTCTCTTCCCCAACTGATGTGGGATCTCACATTCTCGGTCTTTTATTGTTTACAAAACCCTTATAGATATGGTGTTTAGCCACCTAAGTCATTTCTACCTACTTTATGTTTCACTCTCAAATGCACATCAGAATGTCCAAGATTCAGAGAAAGAAATGCAAAAATTCTATTGGGTGTTGAAGGTATTAAGGTGGCAGCACTTGGTGGGACGAGATCATGGTGACATGCTATGTGATGTCCCACATTGGTTGGGGAGGAGAACAAAACACCCTTTATAAGGGTGTGGAAACCTTCCCTTAGCAGACGCATTTTAAAGCCTTAAGGGGAAGCCCAAAAGGGAAAGCCCAAAGAGGACAATATCTGCTAGCGGTGAATCTAGGTCCTTACATGCTAGGAGTGGGCAATGGGCATCTAGAGTATTAAAGGAAAACCTATTCTCTTTGCAAACATTGGGAGATTTCCAATTAACTTCATCTATCAAAATACATATTCACTTTCAGCATATAGCAATCCTGGACAGACCCATAATATTGTCTCCTTTTTTAGATTTATGAAACTAAAAGTGATAAATCCAAATTATCTACATATTTCAAATGGATCAGGAAGATTAAGGAACGACAAAACATCGTTCGAATGGACTCACATGATGATGTGCTTTAGTAAGTAGTTTGATCTGGACTTCTCGTACGGCCCTCCACACATTGTAACTAGTTCCTTGAACTCAGAGTGAACACTTTGGCATATTATACCTCTTTTTCCAGATAAAAAAGAACTCAGCTCCACAAGAATCGGCTTCTGAATTTCGGACATAACCTAGCAGGGGATCGAGAGAAAAAACTACATTGGCTACAACCAAAAATAATAATAATACTAGTAAGAACAAGTTCAGATCATTTAACACGAGCAAAGAAATCAACCAACTAATTGATTGGTAAATCAACCTTAATTTTCAGCTCTAACAATTCAAAAACATGGGAAAATTATAGTGAAAATAAGATCTACTGATGCTTTAAATCAATACTCGATGGTTACGAATTTCAGCCACGCTAGGTGGCGAGTAAAATAGTAGCTAAAAATGAACAGAAAGATAGTACAGGGTAATGCTCATCTGGAAACAAAACTAACCTGATCAATAACAAAATCATAGTTACTCTTGTACTTCTGTTTCAATTCATCCTCTGGAGTAGCCAATAATTTTGCAACACAACCATTACTAATGCCTGATACTAGTGCAATCAATGCCGTGGTATCGAAATTTATTAGATCAGTATCACCATCCAACAAATGTTCCAAACTCGTGGATTCGAGATCTTCGATCCCGATCATAGGATTAGGTTTCATTGCCTTAACAACAGAGCAGAAAGGAACCCCAAGATCTCTCTCAACATACTTGTCCAAAATCTCTGGTTCATTCACACCAGTAGAACATAATTTACTGATGCAATTTGAACTCGTAATCCCGCAATTCCTATCATTAACTTTTATTTCAAGAACACAGGCTTCTTTATATCTTCTTGGAAGCACATTAACCCAATCATCATCAATCTCAGAGAAATCAAAATCCATGTCCGAGAAATTGAAATTAAACTCCGTAGCCCTAAATTCATCTCGGAGTCTTTCGAGAATGAACTGATCAAGTCCATGCGAAAAAAACAAGATGATCGAGCAAGGTTCCAAGGCCTGCAAAGAGCGAGCCGCATCGACTACTTCCTCAATGCGAGATTTCAAACCCTTACTCCTATGGCCCCTGTGCCAAGAAATATACCTAGGTTTTCTATCCGATACAATAATCCACACAGGATTCCTGTTCAAAGTGCAGATTATATCAACATAAACAGCTTTCGAACAGGGAGATGGAATCGGCTTACAGACACGTGAAATTCCAGCGACGGAAGGATGTTGAAGAATGTGAACAATGGCCTCGAGGTGCCCAATGTTCAAGCTGTATGGAAATCACGATCAATATCAGGAAAGATACGTAAGATTCGAAACTGTAAACGGTTCGATTTGAGAAAAATGGCGGAACCTGAGCGGGGTGGATGACGAAGAGGAGCAGCGAGAGAGGAAATTGAGCTCGCGAAGAGCCAATTTGTGGAGAGTTCGGCTACTTGAAAGGGTGATGTTGGTGGAAGAAGGTAGCGCTTCGATCATGTCCATAACCGCTCTGCATCTTTGCTTGGCCAATTCTACTGCATCTGGTTCTGCCATTGTTGGGGTTCATTGGCGATCGCGCATCTTCATTGCAAGAAATATCGATGTCCCAAATTTCATCAAAATGCCCTTAATGCCTTGGAAAGAATTGATAAGGAAAGTTCATATCTTTTTTCAGCTTCCAATCAAAAATATTTAGCATCAATTTTGAAATTTTAAAACTTAGGGGATAAAAATGTTGAATGAGATTTTGTTAATGGAAGTTCAAGTTGTTGTCATTAATGGAAGTCGTGGTCAAGGACCATTGCCGGTATGAGCCTACATCTCACTCTCTCGAGCTCTGATTTAAGCATAATGCTACCTAATTGTACGTGCATCCTATCATTAATTTAACATTTCACAGGCACGTCATGAGAGCTAGGTTGGGTAAGGCAGTTATAAGTCAAAATCAGAATAATTTTGGGGTTGAAGCCGGACTTCTTAAGTGGGAAGAGTCTTACCCATCAATGAAGCAAGAAGGTGAAAAATGCTTCGAGAGGAGTGATCCTGAGAGAGGCAAGCGAGCCCATAAAACTTCTCCAAGAAGTGAGTACATATGTGTTTCTTGAGTCATCGTCTCATGCTTAAAGTAGGTGATTTCACGAGAATTGTGAATAATGGAGTTGTAGCAAGAACAAGAGGAGCGTCAGTGCAACAATTGTCACACGAAGGTGGCCAAGTAAAAACGTTGAAGGGACTATGTTAAAAGCTTCTAGAAAGGGATGTGGCCCCGACGAGAACATATTATAGTTAATCTGTACAACTCAAACCAAGATGACCACGTTTGGGGTGTGTTCCTCCTAGCTCAAACGACGATGTATCAATGCTTGTTTTCCAGTAGTTTGTCTAGTGAGTCACGAATAAAGTATGAGAGAAGTGCGAGGTAGGTCCCTGATGAGATAGCCCACAACCATAGGATGCTTGTTGTGCTTATGTTGCGAGTCTCAAAGACCGAGAGAAGTGCGAGGTAGGTCCCTGATCTTTAGACATTTATTTCCAGCTACTCAATTAGCAGTTAGTCCGACGTTTGGATCCTCATTGGGATGATGCCGAGATTAAGTGAGAGAGAATGTCATAATCCATGATACAATTGTGTCCTTAAGAAAGTCACTGAGAATGATGACTAGTTTAAGTGAGAGAGAGTATCACAGACATACTATATAGGTAGTAGGTTGTGATCCCAACATATAGGCAGACAAGATGACAACATAGAAGTGGCGGTCAACCAATCAATTAGTCTTAGACAAGATAAGTGTCATATAGTTGGTGAAGAAATCGATTTATTATTCAACGACAAGAACACATCAAAAAACGATACGATTTCACTTGCAAGTAAGTGGAAAAGGTGATGTATTTTAAGATGATAGAGATTGCATTCAACAAAATAGTCGTATCGATCGTGAAAGCCAAAACTTAGAGGAAGTGAGTTCAATATAAGGGTGAACACCCTCATCACGATAACAAATGAGTAAGGAGACAAAAGATCCATTTGTCTCGAGCCTCGCTTCGGAAATAACCTTTCAAGGAGCTATACGTAGAGATCAAGATCATCGAGGATGTAATACAAGCCTAAACCCTATCAACAAATTAAGAAGTCAATCTTTAATCCACGTTGAGATTTCCCCTTATACAGATGATACCTCTTATCGTTCCTACAAAAATATGATATTGTTCTCAATACTTCTTTCCGATATAAAATTTGATCGACTAATACTGATAAAGCACGAGAGCCACTCTCTTAACCTATTAGCAAGAAGTTCATAACGCAATTATACATGACATTAACACAAAACTAGTCGAAAGTCACCTACGCCAAACATTCGACTTCTTCAGAACTAATGTGAAGACTTTTGTAACGGTTCAAGCCCACCGCTAGTAAATATTGTCCTCTTTGAGTTTTCCCTTTCAGGCTTCCCTTCAAAGTTTTTAAAACGCGTTTGCTAAGAGAATGCTCGATGTTCTCCCCAACCGATGTGGGATCTCACAATCCACTCTGGAAAAGGTTTCCACACTCTTATAAAGAATGCTTCATTCTTCTCCTCAACCGATGTGGGATCTCGTAGCTTGAGTGCTTCCCACTCTTCGATTTGTAGGAATTTCTAGATTAAGTGAATTTATTACCCAAGTTTCTAAATACCTTCCTAATTAAAATATTAGAAGCTCTTATTTAAAATGAATAAATATAAAAATGGAGTATAAATTGTTTAAAAGTTGAAGATTGACTCTTACCTNACCTTTGACCTTAAAAAAAAAAAAAAAAAAAAAAAAAAAAAAAAAAAAAAAAAAACATGTCTTTGACTATCTAGAGCTGAACTTTCCAAGTCAAAGTCATCGATATATGAACAGCTCAAGTCATGATCTTTCACTATAAAGGTAACAAACAATCATTCCTATAGAAGATGATACCCATCTCCTAAAAAAGCCCAACTTTTTTTAGATTCTAATTCTTATAATAAAGATTCCAATCCACTCATCTCTTACACGACAAAACGCACCACCATTGTCACTCAGTCCATGTGTCGCATCCTGTCCTGTCCTGTCGTGTCGTTCCGACAGCTCTTTGACTGTCCATTCCCGAGGTTTCAACTGTATCGAGTGGTAAATCCCGGCGGCCCACAAGGCTTGCCGGCCGGAGATAAACAAATGAACAATGGGTACAAAAATTCCACTGAAATGAAAAGAATTAATTGTTTTTTTTTTTTTTTTTCCCAATAAAATTTAAGATCCACACACCCGGATAACGATGTTTCATCAACTTCGATTTATTTACCATCTTGTCCTCCATTCCCTTACGGATTCCAACACAATAATTTAATTCCAACCCCAACCACAATCGGAAGAGAAATTCCGCCCAAACCCCCAAAAAGGGGCAGAGGAAGCTCTTTTGGTGTTGATTTTGATCGATTTAGCCGATTTTGTTGATGGGTTCTTGCCATTCGTCTCTAAAAGGGCGGCAGAGCAGAGGCGGCGCTGATTCTGCCGCGGCGGCGGAATCCCCAATAGCTTCTACAATCAACTCATTTTCTTCTGCTTCTTCGTTTTTGTACTCTAAGACCAGTAAGCCGCGTTGGTGGAAGAGCAATTCCACTAAAACTTTTGGCGTTGGGGTTTGTTCAGAGAAGGTTCATGAATTTGAGGTTCCGGGGCGGATTTGTTCAAATGGGTCATCGAGAATCGCTTGTTTGTATACGCAACAGGGGAAGAAAGGGGTTAATCAAGATGCCATGGTTGTGCATGAGGTTAGTACCCATTGTTCATACTGTTATATCACTTTTTTCTTCGTTTTGAGCTGATTGATAATGTCCTTTCAGCACTTGATGCCACTTTATGTATGAGCTTTGGAGATCCAACTGATTTTTGGGATGTGCTAGAACTTTTGATTCCATATGATATTCATTTAACATAAAATCTAGGAGGTTTTGTGAATTTGATTCCAAATTAGGTACTGTTTCTAGTGGCTACTAAGCTCATTGATTCTTGTCTTTATAGCATAGCTTAAGCAACCCAACTAGCAGTCTCCGAGGTAATCTAGGATTACTTAGAATGATCCATAAAAGGTTGTATGTCAGTAATATTAATCGTGTCGAATATCGTGTTAGATCGTTCATGTTCTTGGCAGGACATTAAACAAGTTGTTAGATTTCCATGTTACCCATGAATGCTCCTTCCAGGAGCTTATGAAAATTGCTACTATATTGAAGTTGAGATGTACAAATCAGTTCATCAGGTGTCAAGTTTCATCTTTGGCATGTCAGGAACCTTAAGGGGCCGTTGGTTGAGGATTGTTGGGAGAGGAGTCCCACGTCGGCTAATTAAGGGGCCGTTGGTTGAGGATTGTTGGGAGAGGAGTCCCACGTCGGCTAATTAAGGGGTTGATCATGGGTTTGTAAGTAAGGAATACATCTCCATTGGTATGAGATCTTTTGGAGAAACCAAAAGCCAAGCCATGAGAGCTTATGCTCAAAGTGGACAGTACCATACCATTGTGGAGGATCGTGGTTTCTAACATGGTATGAAAGTCATGCCTTTAATTTAGTCATGTCAATAAAATCCTCAAATGTCGAACAAAAAAGTTGTGAGTCTCGAAGGTGTAGTCAAAAGTGACTCAAGTGTCAAACAAAGGGTGTACTTTGTTCGAGGGCTCTAGAAAAGGAGTCGAGCTTTGATTAAGGGGAGACTATTCGAGGGCTTCATCGACCTCAGGGGAGGCTCTATAGTGTACTTTGTTCTAGGGCTCTAGAGAAGGAGTTGAGCCTCGATTAAGGGAAGGCTGTTCAAGGGCATCATAGGCTTCAGGGGAGGCTTTATAGTGTACTTTGTTCTAGGGCTCTAGAGAAGGAGTCGAGCCTCGACTAAGGGGAGGCTGTTCGAGGGCTTCATAGGCCGCCAGAGAGGCTCTATAGTGTACTTTGTTCTAGGGCTCTAGAGAAGGAGTTGAGCCTCGATTAAGGGGAGGCTGTTCGAGGGCTCCATAGGCCTTAGGGGAGGCTCTATAGTGTACCTTGTTCGAGGGAAGAATTGTTGAGGATTGTTAGGAGAGGAGTACCACATCGACTAATTAAGGGGTTGATCATGGGTTTATAAGTAAGGAATACATCTCCATTGACATGAGGCCTTTTGGGGAAACCAAAAGCAAAGCCACAAGAGCTTATGCTCAAAGTAGACAATATCATACCATTGTGGAGGGTCGTGGTTCCTAATACTGTTGGGCAACTTGTTTTACAAAATACTCCTAAAAATCTATTTTAATAAACCGTGATTGGTTGAGTTTTTTCAACGAACTAATTACATTGTTTCATGCTTTACTAGATAAGGTACTTTAAGAGAAAAACCCCGTTTGACAACGTTTATCGTAAAAAACTTTAGCTTGTCCACATATCACATACATTAAGTAATAAACAAGAATGTGATGAATTAGATCATTTCTTTTTTAAAATAGTTAACCAAACATATCTCTCATTATTATCCGAACATACCCAAACCGTTCCTACGAGCTGCCAATGTAGTTATTACTTCTTAGACAATATGGGTTTTTCCTTCTCTGCTTGGAGCAAACGAGCACTGAGGAACCCGTAAACCAGTTCCTTATGTATCAGTACCCGAATGTTGTTTGCTTTTGACAGTCATTAGTGGCACGGATCTTTTACTTTTCACTGCCCTTTCGATTAACTTGGTTTGAACATTTTTTCTTATAGGCTTTCGGTTCGAAAAGAGATACAATATTTTGTGGGGTATTTGATGGACATGGTCCTTTCGGACATATGGTTGCGAAAAAAGTTCGGGATACCCTTCCTCTAATCCTATGTACACAATGGACATCTAAATCAAACGAAGATCAAAGCAGTGTCGTTAAGACGAACCATTCCAGAAGTTCAAATTCTGAAAATTCTGTTGCTCTGGACGGCGATGAAGATTCTTACAAGTCACTGGAGGCCGAGGAAAACGAAAAATTCCCCAAGATGTTTCTGCCACTCAAAGTATCTTTACTGAAGTCCTTCAAATTAATGGATAAGGAGTTGAAACTGCATCCGAAAATTGATTGTTTTTGCAGTGGATCGACGGCTGTGACTCTAATAAAGCAGGTAATATTGCATCGTACAATGGTTTGTTTTTCGATGTGTTTGTTTGCATAAATGTTGATCTGTTGGAGGCGTTTTATTAAAACGATGAGATATCGTTCAGTTATGTTTTTGAAATTGACTAAATGTGTGTTCTTTAGGAATAGGAAATAAGGATGAATAGATCGGTGGAAGTTGCTTTGTAAATGATGGACATAATCTTAAACGAGTACGCTTCCAAAATAGGTAAGAGAGTCAGTCACATCGGTTGCACGTGTAGATATGTACTTAGGAGCTGAATGAGGTGAAGGCGTGTTGCCTCGGTTGAGTCTAGGTGCCCTCGATAAGGCATGCATTGTGGCATACCTCAATTGTTTTTTAATTTGAAGATGAAACAATACTTTCATTATAAAAAAGGAGGGTACGTGGGATGGGGATGAGATATTGCCTTCCAAACCTTGGGGATTACAATAAAACGTCCCGGTGGCATAGATGAAAGAAAGTTGTAACACCCCAAGCTACCACTGGCAGATATTGTTTTCTTTAGGCCTTTCCTTTCGGGCTTCCCCTCAAGGTTTTGAAAACGTGTCGGTTAGGGAAAGGTCTCTACACTCTTATAAAGAATGTTTTGTTCTCCTGCCCAACTAATGTGTGATCTCACAGTCCACCCCCAGGGCCAACGTCATCGCTGGCACTCGTTCACTTTTCCAATCGATGTGGGACCCTCCAATACACCCCCCTTCGGGGCCTAGGGTCCTTAGTGGCACACCATCTCGTGTCCACCCCCTTCGGGGCTCAGCCTCCTCGCTGGCACATCGCCCAGTGTCTAGCTCTGATACCATTTGTACTCAAATCGAAGCGATCAAAAAAGATATTTTCTTTTCTAAATATGAAGGAATATGTAGCGGGTTTTAGGAACTTCGTGCAAAAAAGATCGAGATTTGTCGTGGTGTATGTTTTTTAGCTTCAATTTTGGTAGGATCATTGATGGAAGCCCCCAGCATTTTGAGTTTTCTTTTCCTAGTTCATCTGAATTGTGCCTTTACAAGGATGCTCATGTTGCTGATTGCTAGAATTGCCCGTCCCTTTCCTTGGTGCTTGTCGAGAAAACGAATTAAACAATCACACACTTCTAAATGGATCTCTCTAAACGATAGTTCGTCCCCACCGAAATAAGTTACTCTAAATTAGGAACTATTGGTGCTGTAGCTCACCCGTTAAATATCTGTAAAAGGCCTCGTCAGTTTTAGCGTTCGGAGGTTTAAGTACTCTTGACATGGTGCAGCTCTAACCCAGTTCGTAGGGCTTCAAGCCCACGATAACTGAAGTTATTTATGAAATTCTAATGAAAAACACGAATGATCATTTGTTTCTCGAGTCCTTTCTCTTGTATCAGGCATTAGCTCTTGGATGTTTTTAACTAGAACGTGGTCTTCCATTACTTCGTCTCCAAATTTCTTGTCACTATGAGTCTATTTATCTGAGATCTCACGCTTGTTGGGGAGGAGAATGAAACATTCTTTATAAGGGTGTGGAAACCTCTCCCTAGCATACGCGTTTTAAAACCTTAAGCTGCTAATGGTGGGCTTAGGCGGTTACAAATGGTATCAGAGCCAGACACCGGGTGATGTGCCAGTAAGGAGGCGGTCCCCTGAAATGGGGTGGATTGGGGAGTCCCACGTCAATTGGAGAAGGGAACGAGTGCTAGCGAGGATGCTAGTCCCCGAAAGGGGGTTGATTGTGAGATCCCACATTCGTTGGGGAGGAGAACGAATCATTCTTTATAAGGGTGTGGAAACCTCTCCCTAGTAGACGTGTTTTGGTTTAGCTCCTTCAGGTCTTGCATAAGCTTTTGCCTGTCATGTATGGTTTGAACTGTTATCAATCTCTCTCCGGATGAAATTTTATCTCATTATATGTGGCTAAACAAAAGTGGAAAGTGATGTTGTGATGTTTTATAGGGTCAGAACCTTATACTTGGAAATGTCGGTGACTCGAGAGCGGTGCTGGCTACAATAGACGACGATAACTCTTTGATTCCAGTTCAACTAACGGTGGACTTGAAACCCGACCTTCCTGGTAAATTTATCTACAAATAGGAAATATACACGAGTTTAAAAGTTCTGTTTTCGTTCTTGTGTTCTTCATAAGTTTTACAGTTAGTCTTTACCTGGACATGACTCCACTTTTCTTTTTGTTATCTAGCTGAAGCTGCTAGGATCCAGCAATGCAAAGGACGGGTCTTCGCTTTACAGGACGAGCCTGAAGTTGCACGAGTATGGTTGCCTAATAACGATTCACCTGGTTTGGCAATGGCGAGAGCTTTCGGAGACTTTTGTCTGAAGGATTTCGGTCTAATTTCTGTTCCCGACGTTTATTATCGTCACCTTACGGCGAGAGATCAGTTCGTAATTCTTGCCACTGATGGGGTATCTTTTCTCCTTTCATCATATATCTGATCAAGCTTTAAAGTGTATTTGTAGTGTTCTAAACGGTGTGTTTCTTCTTGCTATATAAAGTACTGTGAGATCCCATATCGGTTGGAGAGGAGAACGAAACACCTTTTATAAGGGTGTGGAAACCTCTCCGTAGCAGACGCGTTTTAAAAAGCTTGAGGGAAAGTCCAAAAGGGAAAGCCTCAAAAACCTTGAGGGAAAGTCCAAAAGGGAAAGCCCAAAGAGGTTAATATTTGTTAGCAGTGGGCTTGGGCCGTTACAAATGGTATCAAAGCCAGACACTAAGCGATGCGCCAACGAGGAGACTGTTCCCCAAAGGGGGTAGATACGAGATGGTGTGCCAGTAAGGACGCTGGGCCCCGAAGGGAGGTGGATTTTGGTGAGGTCCCCCATCGATTGGAGAAAGGAACGAGTGCCAGCGAGGACGGTGGGCCCTGAAGGGGGTGGATTGTGAGATCTCATATTGGTTGGAGAGGAGAATGAAACACCCTTTATAAGGGTGTGGAAATGATGGTGGGCCCTGAAGAGGGTGGATTGTGAGATCCCACGTTGGTTGGAGAGGAGAACGAAACACCTTTATAAGGGTGTGGAAACCTCTCCCTAGCAGATGCGTTTTAAAAACCTCGAGGGGAAGCCCGAAAGGGAAAGCCCAAAGAGCACAATATCTGCTAGCTGTGGGCTTGAGCCGTTACAATTCCCTTGAATATTGATTTCCTCGGCGTTGAGCTTATAGATGTTTCGTCATGGTTCCTTCTGATGAACGTGTTTGATCAATTCAACATACATGGCACAGGTTTGGGATGTTCTTTCGAATAAAGAAGCTATTGAAATTGTTGCTTCAGCCCCATCTCGCGAAACATCAGCCAGGGCTCTTGTCGACTGCGCCGTTCGTGCATGGAGGTTGAAATATCCTACATCCAAGAACGACGATTGTGCTGTTGTATGTCTCTTTCTCGAGTACGAGCCTGAAATAGAAGAAAACACAGCCACTAAACCAGTGGAAGAAGATCTAGCCCCGCCGAGCGAGGACACGAAAGATATTGAAGTCGATTCTAACGATCATGGCACGATTGGAAGCTCTAATGAGATTGTACCTGTCGACGACACAACAGACGAGAAGGTTGGAGGTGGTGGTCGAAACCCGTCGAAGAGAAGCTTAGCGGAGTGCATTTCGAATGAAGAGGAGGAATGGTCAGCATTGGAGGGTGTTACGAGAGTGAATAGTCTCCTAAGCCTTCCGAGGTTCCTGTCGGGTGACAAAAGGTCAGGCAGCTGGAGGAAGTGGCTATGAGGTTTGTCTTTTTCATGTCATTTTTATTGGTCATATTTCTTGTGGATATAACATTTTCATTTTCAGTGCTCTCTTGCAAATAAAAGAAAATTTGTATTTGGAACAAAAGATCTGTAGTATTGTTTATAATCTCAATTTGGAGGCAGAAAGGTTTGTTTTTCAAATCGAATTTATAATCGATCGTATGTTTTAGCCAAATAACCACTCGTTTTATACATTTTTTCACGTTCTTTCTCGCTATCTTATTAACAGAGCAAAAATTTAAAAGATCTCGACTTTCAATGCCCCAAAAGTATAAACGATCTAAATTTAAAGTTTGAGAGAGATCATGATTTTGAGTTGTCTCCATTTCTTTTCTTCTTTTAGTGTCTTGGTTTACGTCTTAGGCGATTCATGAGGAGAAAAAATATTGTAGATCGTTTTTTAGAGGCTTAACGGTGTTTGAATATTTTTCTAAGGTGGACATCTCGATTACTTTAGTTGTTTTTGTATTAGTCTAAGTCATCGTTTGAAGCATGAGTTTGATATCTTAAACTTGAGTTCAATAAGTTGTGAGTTTAAGTGAAGGGTTTAAGAGGTCCAAGTTAAGAAAATTGTGATTAAGATGTTTTAAAAAAATATGGGATTATAAGTGAGGCGAGTGCGGCAAGATGAGTGTCTAAACTTTTTTTGAAATGAGTTTTTCAATCATAGTGTCGGATGACATGGGTGTACTGACATTGTGCTCCTGCCCATGTGTTAGATGTTGGTATATGTACCTGCTATTCAGTATAGAGTCTGTAAATGACATGACATAGACATGAGAGGATCCAATACATTAGTAGAACTCGGATGATGGATGCTCGGAATGTCTCAATGATATTAACGACATATAGATCCGTTCTCGATGAGCATGTCTGAGCGAGTTATGATGTCTAATGCCATCCCAGGACTTGGGATGACATCAAGACATGTGGGTTGTATTAATTTGGAACAAAGATGAAAATACGAGATGCAATTTGAGATATTTTGCCCCCGAGTAGAGGTAAGATGGAGTTGGATGACTTGGATGAAATTTCTATGATGTATGTTATTTTAATGCTTTCTGATGTGCTTAAAGCGAGGATGAGATATTGTGATTTGTGCTCCAGTTGAATGATGAATGTTATCTCCCCATTCAGTTTGCCTTAATATTTAGACCGTATATTCTGTATTTTAGATGATTGATAGGATTATCTCCCTAGTCAAGCATGTATGAGAATGTAGGATAGCTCTAGGTGGTTGATTGAGTATTCCTCAGTAGAACATAATTACCTACATGGAGTAATGGTCTAAGGATTGTGAGCGGCAATCAAGCATGTAGACCATAGTGCTCCTGCACCAAGAAATCAGAGGCAATCAGCATCGACGACATAATCTCATAACAAAATACTACATAATCTCATCCAATATAATTTTAATTTTAAACAAAGGAAATCGAAGTAAGAAATCAGAGGCAATCAGCATCGACGATGAGTTATCGATGAAAAGGCGTGACGAATGGCGATCGAAATCAACAGTCACAAACGAAGATTGATTGTGTGAGTAGATAAGTCAACACAATGAAGAGTCGATGCGATGAAGCTGCTTTCCTAAAACACCCTCAGATGCAAATTGGAAGCCTAAGATGGAGTCGATGATACAACTTTCGGGCCGATGACACAAGCAACACAAACTTCAATTTCTCCTCATCGGATTGTATGTGGCTATAGGTTGTGAGAGGAGGTGAGTGAGCTCGACTCTTATCGTCAACAACTCAAGGATTCCGACAAAAATCAGCACACTTTCAGCTTTAAATATGAGATTAAGATGATTAAATTTATGGTTGCCTAACTTCTCTAGTCATCTATCTGTCGGGTGCTAACTAGACAATTTTTTTTCTAAGTACATTGCAATCTAATAGAGTTTTATCGTAGATCTTCGTTATGACTATACTTTCGAGGATCACAATTTCTTTGTGCAACACTTGGAGAAGTTGGAAATGTCCCACGATCGAAATATGTCAAAACAAATATGACTATACTTTCGAGGATCACAATTTCTTTGTTCAACACTTGGAGAAGTTGGAAATGTCCCACGATCGAAATATGTCAAAACAAATATGACTATACTTTCGAGGATCACAATTTCTTTGTTCAACACTTGGAGAAGTCGGAAATGTCCCACATCGAAATATGTCGAAACAAATAAAAGAAGCAAAAAGAAGAACTTGAGGAAAGAGATCTTTTGGAACAGGAAACTTTGAGCACTTATGCATTTCAATTCTCTGTGCTGTATAAATAACATACATCTCATGAGTATTTATACTCGAGAAAGCACCACCACCACCGATCTCCTCAACTTTCTCCTCAAGTTAAGCTAGTATTAACAAATCAAACCAAAATAATTTCTTTTGTTAAGTAAAACTTATTAACTAAGAGAGGATTCAATTAATTAAGATAAAATCATAGCTCTCATGCTAGAAATGAGACAACCAAATTAACTTATACAATAGTATGATATTGATAAACCGAGATTATTCCCTTCCAACTAAAAAAGAGATGTATATGAGAAAAAGAAAAACCCTAAGAAGCATAAAGAAAAGAAACACATAGATCGATGATGGAGATAACCCAAAATAGTGAGCAAAATGAGGTGAGGAGGAAAGGCATTGGGAGGTGTCAGTGTTGAGCAAAGAATCGGGGTTGAGTTTGCTGCAAAATGTACAAAAGTAACTTCACATTTCCACTTTGCGTGTGTCTTTTGTACTTTGTACCTAATGAATATTTAGATACATGCATCATACATTTTTCAACCTTCCCTTTTCCTCTCGCCACATTTGGCTCCTCGAGATCTTAAAATGGTACATTCACTCTAAGAAATAATAGATACGATAGCTAATACAGAACACTACATTGAATTTAATATTAAGTTGTCGGTTTTAGCACCTCTATGTTTTAAAAATGCATCACCTCCGACAATTCAAGCACACACGCCTTTAGCTAGCCTTCTTTTTGTTGAGACGTTATGGGCAACTTTGAACGGTTGTCATGATACTCTTTAAATACCTTGCATTTGTATGCCATTTGAGGGGGAGACACTTTGAGATTTTTAACCTAAATACAAAATGTATATTTGAAGAGGCTTATCGGATGATTTTGAAGCTTAGGATATTGAAAATTGTTGGGAGAGGAGTCTCATTGGCTAATTAAGGAGAAGATCATGAATTCATAAGTAAGGAATATTATCTCCACCGGTATGAAGCCTTTTGGAGAACTAAAAGCAAAGCTACGAGAGCTTATGCTAAAAGTGAACAATATCGTACCATTGTGGAGAGTCGCGGTTTCTAACATGGTATCAAAGTCATGCCCTTAACTTAGTCATGTCGATAGAATTCTCAAGTGCTGACAAAGAAATTGTGAGCCACGAAGTCAAAAACGACTCAAGTGTCGAACAAATGGTGTACTTTGTTTGTTCAAGGGCTCTAGAGAAGGAGTTGAGCCTCAATTAAGGGGAGACTGTTTGAGAGCTCCATAGGTCTCAGGGGAGATTCTATGGTGTACTTTGTTCGAGGGGAGGATTGTTGAGGATTGTTCGGAGAGGAGTCCCACATTGGCTAATTAAGGGAAAGATCATGGGTTTATTATAAGTAAGGAATGTTATCTTTTCGTGGAGCTAAATCTATCATTTATTAGGGCAAACTAAGATTTTGCATCTAGCTCTAGACTCTCAACTATAGGCTAAAAGGAATTCTCGAGATGCCGAACAACGAACAAATTTCAGCTCTCGAAGTTCTTTTAAGGTTTTCCCCTTCCTCACGGTTGTCCTCCTCAAATAAAGGGTGCAACTCTTTTTATAGACGTGTATATTTAAGATTGGTAAACGTCAAGGATTGTTGGAGTTCTATATGGACTAATTAAGGGGAAGATCGTGAGTACATAAGTCGAGGATACTATCTCCAATGATACGAGGCATCTAGAGAAGGAGACACTCATGTACGAACAAAAGGTGTAGTTTGTTCAAGGGCTCTGTTTTTCATCCCAAGCAAAGTGTAGTAGTTTTAGTCCCTACACCCCATCTCTACATCGAGAGTGTGAGTGTTTCCCACAAAATAGTTGTATTCAACAATTTGGTATTAGAGCGAGGTTGGTATAGGTTGTCAAGTCTCTAAAATTCTTAGTATACTCTATGGTTGCAACTTTGTCCGATTTTCTAGTATCAGAGTGACGTTGGTATAACTTAATATGTTTTATGGTTACAACTTTGTCTGATTTTTCATATCAGAAACAATTCTTGAGATTATTAGTGAGTGATTTTTTTGTGTGTCACGAATAGTACACGAGTATGCAAGTTTTGCATAAAAAATAAAAAATAAAAACTTATTTGGTATTACTGATGTATTACCAACGTGATAATAACCCAAGTTTTCAAAGGAATCAAGTAACTCAACAACAACTACAATATGTGGGCAACATGCATGATGTTCTATCTACAAGGACAAGACCTCTGGGAGGTCGTTGGTGGAAGTAAAATTACACCACCAGAGGAGGATTCTAATGGTGTCTTACACAAATGGAGAATCAAAACAAACAAGACAATGTTTTCTTTGAAGACCACACTTGAGAAGAGATGTTGGAGCATATTTGGGATGACAAAACATCGAAAGAAGCATGAGACACGTTTCTAATGCTTTTCTCGAAAAAGAACGATACAAGGTTAAACTTCTAGAGAACGAACTATTATCAATCTCACAACGCGACATGACAATTGCTCAATATTTCCATAGGGTAGATCTATCAAGAGATTAGTGAACTACATACGAAGTTCAACCTTAGAGAAGCTCAAATGAAGAGAATCATTAACCAGAGATTATAAACAGAATATAGAAGTCTCATTATTGTTATACAACGACGGTCCGCCCAATCATCATTTGTAGACTTCAAAAATTTGCTAGTCAACCAAGAAGCCATGGCTAGATAAATAGGAGTCATCGTGGTGAAGAGTGAAGAAGAAGTGCTTTACACAAGTAAAAGTCGGAGCAACAATAAGCTGCGTGGATAAGAAATTGGTAACAAAGTAAAAAGTTACGAAAGAACCACACAACTTGACTTAGAAGAACGACAACAAGAGTTCTCACCAAAAAAAATTTGAAGGCATTTATTACAATTGCGAAATAAGGACAACATGTCCAAAAAAATTTAGTCCAAGAAAAAGCTAACCAAAAGTGATGCGACAACCTCCAAAATAGAGATGGAGTATGAATGAGATGCAAATGTACTATGTCTTAGAAAAAGACAAGTTAGTACTCATATGCAACACCCACTTTATTTACAAAGGATTTAACGAAGGAAAGAGGGTTAAATGTAAAAATCCAAGTAAAATCCTAAGGAGCAATTAGTATGACCGGTGTCACTAGAGTCTCCATCCCCAATCTTCTCCGGTACTCTGACAACATAATCAATGACCTAGGTCAAATCCAATAGCGCCCTTGCCTTTAATCCTAACCTTAAAAAAACCCACGAGTCGTAAGTAGTAGACTCACAAAATAATTATCTTAAAAAGATAATGACCATTTGATTCTTGAAACATATGTATATTTCCTCACAAATTTATTACGACCGTCGATTAAAAACAAAATAGTTATTAGACGAATCTGAAAGGATGGTTCATTTTCTTACGAGCGGAATGAAAAAAAAGGGAAGTAATTGACCTCTCATCTTTCCTCCGCTCTAGCTCAAACCAGCTAAACCGACCAAAAGGAGCTAGCTGGTTTTTCTCGAAAGGAGAAAGGGTTTGACTTTTGAGTATCACAAATGAATGGCGTATGCCTCCATTTTCACCTCCTTATATATAAACAATGAGTTGAAGAAGAAGAAGAAGAAGAGATGAAAAGAAAGGATAGAAGGATGAGGAAAGGCAGCACCGCTTCTCACTGTTAATAACTACTACAGCTTTCCTATCAAAGAATCCGATGTGGGACTAATCCAACCCTTCAAAACACCATTTTTTTCAGAAGATAATGCCAATGGACCCTTTCCAAATGCGTCAATTACTAATCCGTTGTGCCCATTTCATCTCTCAATCGGACTTCCTCTCAGCTCATCGCTTTCTTTCCATTATCTCTTCAAACTCATCCCCTTATGGCGATGCCACTCAAAGATTGCTTCATTATTTCTCTTCTTCACTCTCCCATCACCTCCCTTGTTCTTCTTCTTCTTCGTCGTTACAACAAGATGGGCTTCAATCTTGCTATTTATCATTGAATCAAATCACACCCTTTATTAGATTTTGTCATTTGACTGCAAATCAAGCCATTTTGGAAGCTATTGAGGATTGTGGGATGGTTCATGTGGTGGATTTTGATATCATTCATGGTGTTCAATGGCCTCCTCTTATGCAAGCTTTGGCTGAGCGGTTTGCTTCTCCTATGCTTCGTATTACTGCCATTGGTCTTGATCTTACCTCTCTTCTTAAGACGGGTGATAGGCTTTCCAAATTTGCTCATTCACTTGGCTTGAGGTTTCATTTTCATCCTCTTCTTCTTCTCAATGATCATGACGTTGACCGTCTTGTCCCCGCCGCTCTCACGCTCTTCCCCGATGAAGCGCTCGCCGTCAATTGCGTTCTCTACTTGCACAGGTACTTAACTTACCATTCCAACTCATAAGAAAGTATTTAGCTCGTATGTAACTGTCCAACTCACTGCTAGCTGATATTGTTCTCTTTGAGCTTTCTATTTTAGGCTTTCCCTCAAAGTTTTTAAAACGTGTCTTCTAGGGAGAGGTTTCCATACCCTTGTAAAAATACTTCGTTCTCCCCCTAATCGATGTGGGATCTCACAATCCACCCCCTTTAGAGACCAGCGTTAAAACGTGTCTTCTACTGAGAAATTTTCACACCCTTATAATGAATGTTTCGTTTTCCTCCCCAATCGATGCGAGATGTCACAATCCACCCATCTTTAGAGACCAGCGTCCTCGCTGACACTTGTTTCCCTCTCCAATCGATGTGGACCTCCCAATCCACCACCTTTGGAGTCCAGCGTCCTTGTTAGCACACTGCCTCGTATCCACCTCCTTTAATGCTCAACCTTCTCGCTGGCACATAGCTTGGTGTCTAATCTGATATCATTTGTAACAACACAACTTCATCGCCAGCGGATATTGTTCTTTTTGGGCTTTCTCTTTTGAACTTCCTATAAAAAGTTTTTAAAACGTGTCTTATAGAAGGAAATTTTCACACCCTTATAAAAAAAAAATGCTTAATTCTCATCCCTAACTGATGTAGGATCTCATATGGTAAATTTACAGACTTTTGAAGGACGATGTTCGGCGATTGCTTCATAAAATAAAGGCTTTGAATCCCAAAGTGGTGACCATAGCTGAAAAGGAAGCAAATTTCAACCACCCTTTATTCATGCAAAGATTTCTAGAGGCATTGAATCATTACTCCCTAATATTTGATTCATTGGAAGCAACTATGCCTCAAAATAGCAAAGAGAGGCTAGAAGTGGAGAAAGTTTGGTTTGGTAGGGAAATAGACGACGTCGTTTCCGAGGAAGGGAACAAGAGAAGGCAACGCCATGAAAGGTATGAATCATGGGAAATAATGCTTAAAAGTTTAGGGTTTTCTAATATTCCTTTGAGCCCTTTTGCCCTCTCACAAGCCAAACTCCTCCTAAGGCTTCATTACCCCTCCGAAGGCTACCATCTTCAAACCCTTCATGATTCCCTTTCTCTTGGTTGGCAAAATAGACCCCTTTTTTCAGTCTCTTCGTGGCATTGAGAAACAAAACCCAATGAAATGGCTCTCATTTTCAATACCCACCAAGAAAAATGAAGAAATTTGCAAGAACAATGGGAATTTGGGTGATTTCAAGAAAACCCACCAAGAAAAATGAAGGAATTTGCAAGAACAATCAAGGAATTTGCAAGAACAATGAAGAAATTTGCAAGAACAATGGGAATTTGAGTGATTTCAAGAAACCCCACCAAGAAAAATGAAGGAATTTGCAAGAACAATGAAGGAATTTGCAAGAACAATGGGAATTTGAGTGATTTCAAGAAACCCCACCAACAAAATTTGAGTCTTTTACGGTTTGCATGAAAATTATTAGCCTATGAAATTTTCCCTATCAATTAATTGTGTAAAGCTAGAATCTTTCAGCTGTTCTTCCAAAGGGAAAGCTGGAACCGACAAATATTGAATATGTAATATTATTATTTTTTTGGGTACTAAATAAAATCTTTGTTTCTTTTTTTAATTTGATTATAATTTGCATACCCATATGATAAATCAAACAAAAAACATCATTTTCATTAACATGGTCGCTTGTCTCCTTATCTTTTCCTTCTTTTAAGGTAATAACAATGACTAATTAAGCTTCTCTTTCTTGTTTTATCCATAATAAATATATAAAATTAGCTTAATTAATGGTTAATTAAGCTAATTGGGTTGATTTGTTCCCTTACATTCCATTGTTTCCATCAAGATTAAGGTGAGGCTTCGAGAAGGGAATCCTTTCTTTATAGCCATTATTATATTTGTATGTATTGATTACTTTTTTTTTGGTAGTGCACCAAGTTTGAATTTTTATTTAATTTTTGAACCAGAAATTCTGCCTTATGTCCCCTCAACAAAACCATCAAAGTTCTAAAAATGGAGCTTTTCGTGCTCCCTTTGCCACCCTCTAGGTATCCCTTAACTCTCATGTCCTATGGATGTCGGAGGACCATTTTAGGACACTTGATCCCTTCTTCTTGCCCTTTAAGAGGGTATATCACCTTTGTCTTTTTTTGTTTAACCATATATTAAAGTATATTCCTACATGTTCTTTATAAGCTTTTAATATCAACCTAACCCGATCTTTCGAATTTAGTAACGGGTACTCGAGCAAAACGTAAAGGGTTCAATTCCGTATCTAGTTCACTTTATAGATCTTTTGAGCTAATTGAATCCAACCCTTTACAAAGCTAAAGGATTTATGTGCTCCATAGTTTCTTGATCGTTAGTTGACTCATTTGGTCTCGACACTAATTTTCGAATCCGAATTATAACGGCCCAGACCAATTGCTAACAGATATTGTCTTCTTTGAGTTTTCTTTTTCCTAGAGAGATGTTTTCACACCCTTATAAAGGATGTTTCATTCTCCTCCCCAACCAATGTGGGATCTCATAATCCACCCCCCTTCAGGTCCAGTGTTCTTGCTGGCACACCGCCTTGTGTCTACCCCCTTCGGGGAATAGCCTCCTCGATGGCACATCGTTTGGCGTTTGGTTCTGATACCATTTGTAATGGCTTGGCCCAGCGCTAGCAGATATTATCCTCTTTAGGTTTTTTTCCATTTTCTCAAAGTTTTTAAAACCCATTTATTAGGAGATGTTTTATACTCTTATAGAGCGTGTTTTGTTCTCCTCCCTAATTGACGTGGGATCTCACCTGAATCGAGCTTCAACTAGCCTCCATTGTGTTTAAAAGGTGGATTAAATGAATGGGGTTTGGATAGTAATGTTGTGGAAATAGGGAGAAAGTAAGAGAGAGTGATAAGATGGTGAGAAGAAGGGGCATGGCATGACCAAAGAGGCAAAATGGCGAAGGAAAAGAAGGATAAGGTTGCGTGTGGGAAGACATTATGTGATGAGGGAAGCTGAGAATTGGTGCACGCATGGTATTTCTCACACATCCATCCATCTTTCCATCTGATTTTGACCTTGCCTTTTGCACTCTTTTTCCTTTTTCCTTTTTGGCTTTGTCTTTAACATTAAATATTATAATCAATCTTAGTTTAATTAGCGTTCTAATAGGCGTTTTAAAAAGTAATCTTGAAACCCATTTAGGTTAATCCTAATCGAGCAGACCTGATGATCTATAGAAGACTCCACAGGAAGAGTCGAGAACACTGTAATAAAATATTGGTTTTGAGAGACCCTTTTAAGCATTGTAAAAGAAAAAGCCTACTAATAGAGCTAGTTTGTAACAGCTCAAGTCCACTGGTAGCAGATATCATCCTATTTGAATTTTTCCTTTCAAGTTTCCTCTCAAGGTTTTTAAAACGAGTTTGCTAGGAAGAGGTTTTCACACCCTTATAAAGAATGTTTTATTCCCCTCTCTAATCGATATGGGATCTCACATAGGTAGGGAGGAAGACATTTACGCAAACAACAGAGAATCTGCTTTGTAAATAATTCTTTAATGTTGTTTGAAAAATCGACCTGATTTAGCCCTAGAGTATCGATTATCCCTCTCTTCAAATATACTAATAGTCATTGCTCGTTGAATCTTGTGATAACTTTTCGATCTAACCTAACCCTATTAGCTTAAGATTGAGCTGAAAGGGAAGTAGGATTAGAGAAGGAATCTTTTTGCTTCCCAATTTGTTGGTGTCTTTCTCTCTTGGCCCTCAAATGGCAATATCATTACAGAATTGTATGCTTATGTTTGACTGTTTGCTATGCATGCACGTGTAGACTTAGTGGTTGAAGAAGAGACAGACCAAAAAAGTGTTTGCATTTTTTATACATAACATTACACGCATGGGATCTTTAATGTCGATGCTGCATCTGCAACCCTAATCAAAACATTATGATTCCACTTCCTCTACCATATTTAATTCCATACTTCTTTTTTTTCTTTCCGTTTTAGGTTAAATCTTCGAACTTTCATGTGAGATCCCACGTCGGCTGGAGAGGAGAACGACACACCATTTATAAGGGTGTGGAAATCTCTTCCTAGCATACGCGTTTTACAAACTTTGAGGGCAAGCCCGAAAGGGAAATCCAAAACAGACAATATTTGCTAGTGGTGGGCTCGAGCTGTTACATTTCATGTTGTTAGGTTTAAAAAGTTAGTAAACTTTCAAATGTGATTACCAAGTCTCGAAACTTGTAATTTTACGTCTATTAGGTCTCTCACGTAATCGAAACGATTAAGAAATTAATTGATATATGTTTGATATGAAATTGAATGTTACGTCTAACATGACCGTAAACTTTCAATTCAAAGTTTAGTAATGCAAAAATTAACTTTTTTGGACCTCTCCGATTTAAAATTAAAATTTTGAAATTTGAGGGATTAGATTGTAATTTTATATTATTTTAATTTTTTCTCGTTTTTTACGAATGTTTTGGTTTAATATTAAATCTTACGTACCCTAGTGTTCGAATTCTCACTAAAAACGCCGTGTTAAACATAATATAGATAGAAACGTGTATTAAAATTTTCAATGTGTATAAATACATGTTAAAATTTTTCGATAAAAAAAATATTAAAATAGTAATTTTAAAAAAAAAATATAAGGACTGAAATGAACAAAAATTAAAAGTACGAGGACCTAATAGAATCGAGATCGCGGGAACAAATGAATATCAATGAAAGAAATAATATAAGAGGGCATTTATGGAAACAGTAGTAAGGTTGTCACCACGTGCATGTTTTCACTACTAAGTGCTGAGAGTTTTTTAAAATATTTCAGTATAAATGTTATCTGGGACTTAAACGTTCACAAAATTAATTTAAAATTAAAAATGTAACATCAATGAGATAAGAAAATTGAAAAACAAGGAAACAACCCATGTTAACGAGAATTTAAAAGAAACGCAAACGTCCTGATCTAACCTAAGGGCTACATCTTAAATGCAAAATATCATTGCCATGACTTTATTTTTATAGCCTCCATCGAGACATTGTCATCTATACATGAGTGTCTTACCTTACTTGAAAAAAAATAGAAAACATGGCTTGAGTATTAAAAAAGACGGTACCTCCATTGTTCGAGTTGGAAAATGCAATCATAAGCGATCATGGTTTAAGTGGGATCTATCTTTTCGTAAACTATTTTTTGGGCTCTACTCTTCAATCCGGGCAAGATTGGATGTACAATACTTCTCTACTCACAGTCCAAGTAGGTGTATATGAAACCACCAAGTGAGCTCGTATACATACTCATGGGTCTGACTACGAGCTAACATATGCTCATGTTGTTGAAAGCTATAGAAGAAAAGAAGCAAGTATCATATCATCGTGTATGAGTTCATATCAATCATACTGGAGACGTATCACAATGTTTGTGACATAGAATATGCACGAGGTCTCATAGTTTCAAATCATGGTACATAGTTATGATGCAAATCATACTTCCATTCTTTTCATGACATAATACTCCTATGAGATACGCTACGTATCAGCCCTCCAGCTCAACTAGACCCCAAGACCAAAACAGACTCGTTAACAAGGACGAGTCTTTGTCATGACACGTCAAGAGGCAAAGAACATGAATGTCTTAGTGACATGTACATTACCTATTATTGGATACCATACATCGGTATTGTTTGATCTTGGCTCTACGCATTCATTTATATTTGCATCTTTAAGTTAATGAGACCTTAGGATGTATTATATCATAGCTACCTAAGATTTCCTATAGTCAAACTACATTCCTAAAACAACATTGTGAATCAGGTACAAACATTACGAGTTTACAATACGATCGTTTGGATTGATCAATGCTTTGAAAAGCTTTATGGATTTGATGAACAGAGTGTTCAATAAGTTTATAGATACTTTCGTGATTGTGTTCATCGATATAATTTGATTTATTCCAAGTTTTAGGAGGAAGATGACGAGCACCTCGAAAATGTTATCATAAAGTTGTGCTTTTGAATTAGGGTGATTACCTACCTGATTTGAATCAAAACATCAATCATGCAGTATAAACGCCAGAAACAGGGGAAGAAAATGTTCAAATTATCACTTGTAATGCATGTCACATTAAAGAACAATCAAACTTCGTTTATTCTTAGATGGTTAGATTGATGTTTATAATTATTCAAACTTGACATGATCAATCTTGTCGGTGCATTTTGAATCTCAACCATTATAAATTCATTTATTTTATGTTATAAATTTTGTATCGTTAATATAATTTATAACATATTATTTCGTACTCATTTTAATTAATAAAAAATAAAATTAGGTTTATAGAGGTTGACATTTTTTTTTTCCTTAAATTTAATAAAAGCCAATTTAATGAGGTGAATTTATATTGTGATATTTAGAAATGTACCCTATGTATATAATTTTTTTTTCAATTATTTACTATTATTTACTATTCATTTTTTAGTACAATTATTTTTTTATATTTTATTTTTACACGCACATTAAAAAGTATACATTTTCAACGTATGTCTGACCGTGATGGACAATGAAAAGAGTACCGCGTCGAGAAAATTGCCGTGTGACGAGTAAAATCACAAGAAAAGGTTAAC